GAATGTCTTATCCACTGGCATGGCATCTGACACAACATTGCTTCAGATAAAAAAAATTCACTTCACAGCAAATGCAGTGAGGCAATGGGCCCATGCCCATGGAATCCACAGGTCATGCCAGGTTATCATCTTGAAGCAGCTGGTTAGATAGAATGATGAAATAGCTCCCTAAGACACCATTATTGTGTCGGCAAGGTGGCAACATCTTGCAAAGCTGGGGCAATGTTAGCTAGTCAGAACATGCCAAAGTTAGACTACAGGATAAGTGGAAGAAAACTGGAAAGCATCTAAAACACAAAAAAAGAGGAGACACAGATCTCTAAATCACAAAGGAAGGTGAATGACAAGGTAAAAAGAGTTCCTTCTTAGTTCATTCCCATGCGGTCTGGGCAGGCCGCTACTCTCCCTGGGCTGCATCTTCAGTGCTGCCCTCTGCAGTACAATCTTCTGTGGAGGAAGTGGATGTATTTAAGAGGGAGAGAGAGAGAGCAAGAGCGAAAGCGAGAGTGAGAGAGAGGGAGAGAGACAGAGACAGAGAGACAGAGAGAGAGAAAACCGAATATCCTGGCCTAGAGAGAGAGAGAGAACCGAGTATCCTGACCCACCAAGCTGCAAGGACGACACTCCTGCTCAGAGTAGGCAAGGCACCGAAAGGACTGTAAGGGGCGGCCCCACCACAAGACAGGACATCACCTCGCTGACCCACAGCACTGCAGGGGACAGCACTTGGGACACAGTGTGGAAATTTTGCCTTGTCTGACACCCCCACCCCCCACTGGGGTGAAACACTAAGGGAGACAACTGAGCAGCAAGGGGAGAAAAACAATGAAGTCCCTGAGGAATCCTGAAAATACTTCAGACTTGGAGGGCAGGAATTGGCACCTCATCAGACTAACTCAGAAAACATATGTAAGTGTAAGCAGACAGATCTGGAATTATTTTTCTTCTTCTTCTTCTTGTCTATCTATATGAGACAGGCAAGATAAACAACCCAAAGCAGAAAACAGCGGGACCAACAGTTCCAGGAGGACAAGGGTGAGGAGGCAAAGGGGGTGGGGATGGGGAGCCAACAAACCCAGGGGTAAGGGAACAACAAGGGACCTAAAATCAATGGTGAAGAGGGCATTGAATGTCTGATGGGATTCAATCCAGGGCAATGTAGCAGAGAGGAATAATTGAGAGCCAAATGACAGCTAAACATCATAGTGGAACAGAAGGAAAGTAAACGGAAATAGAGGGAAGAACTAGGAGGTGAAAGGCATTTATAGAGGTGTAAATATACAAATGTATATATATACATATATTAATATATAACAATAGGGATATAGGCCTATTCACATATATTCATGCACATATAGGCCTATGCACATATATAGGCCTATGCACATATATACTAAGTATTAAGGAAAGAGATAGTCTTTGGGCCTGTACTCTCTCTCAATGCAAGAACACTTTTTTTCTAATAACCTGGCATTCTATGACATTTGCCTTCTCGACATGAGCCCTAAAGACAAAATGGGCACAAAAACAAATGTGGTGAAGACAACTGATGGTACCCAGCTATTAAAAGATATAGCATCTGGGGTCTCAAAGGCTTGAAGCTAAGCAAATGGCCTTCTAGCAGGGAAGCAAAAAGCCCACATGGAAAAAGCACACCAGCCTGTGTGATCATGAGGTGTCCATGGAGTCAGATATCAGGCATCAGAAGACACAAAACAATCATACCAATGTGAATGACTGGGGTTGGAGTGGAGACTCAAAGCCCATCTGTAGATAATTGGACATTGCCACACAGAAGAGCCACAAGGAAGGGTTCAGCCAGCCAGAGCGCAGTGTAGCCCTGACAAAAGATACAACATTCTTCTAGTTCTTTAATTCTTCCCCCCGCTCTCCCACTATCATTACCCCAGTTCTACCTTGCAAACCTGGCTAGACCGGAACAGGTATACTGTACTAGTATAGATAAGAGCTCTGGACACACGAAATCCAGGGCTGATAAAACATTCAGGAATAGTAATAGGAGTAGTGATACCATGCAGGTAGAGGGAAGGTGGGGGACAAGGGGGAGAAAGGGTAAACAGATTGTAATGATTGACATATGACACTACCACCCCTGATCCCTGAGGAGGATGAACACCAGAAACACAGGTGAAGGGAGACAGCAGACAATGTAATATATGAAATCAATAATAATTTATAATTTAACAAGGGTTCATGAAGGGGGAAGGAGGAAGGGGTGTGAAAAGGAGGAGATGATATCAAGGGCTCAAGTGGAAAGAAAATATTTTGAAAATGATGATGGCAACATATGTACCAATGTGCTTGATACAATTGATATATGGATTGTCATAAGAGTTGTAAGAACCCCTGATAAAAGGATGTATAAAACAAACAAAAACACCATTTCCTTATCAGTGGAAGAGCACATAGATAGTGAAGGTAATGAAATGAAAGACCGGATGTTGACACAGGCCCCACAATGACTGAATAGATCTGGGTCGGAGACAAGGGCACAGCATCAAGTCTGGGGTACCTGGTTGATAGAGAGCCAGAATATACACACCTGGAAGGAGGAGGGACTCTACAGAGAACCAACCAATTGCAGAGGACCCACCAGAAAGCCAGCCTTTGGTGGGAAGCCCACCAGGAGTCAATATAAGGCCCAGCCTTATGTTTTTCCAGGCCTGTTAGACTAGTTAAGGGCTCTTAGGACTTCTTTTCCAAAGAATCCTCCTTCCCTAAACTTACTCTTTCTGTTCAAACCTTTCTCTGACTCTTTCCTGAAATCCCTCTTGCAAGAGGGACAAGAACAGAGACAGGAGAGGCTTGGAGCTCTGAGCCTGAGCCTGGTACCATTTTACAGGTGCTCAGGTTCTCCTTATTTTCAGCAAGCAAGCTTGTGCCATTTGTGTATCAACAGTTGTCAATAAGCCTTCCTCTAGGCTTGATGCCACATTCTTCATATCATCCACTTTCTCTGGTAATTTGATCAGAAAACTGATTAACAAATATGGTGAGAGGATAAAACCCTGACACACAACTTTACTGGTCTTAAACCGTGAAGTTGCTATTGTTCTGTTTACACAACTCCTTCTTGATCCATGTACAAATCCTCATGAGTACAATGAAGTGTTGTCAAACACCTATTCTTCTCAAAGTTATCCATAGTTTGTTATGATACATGCATTTGAATGCCTTTGAATAGTCAATAAGACACAAGTAATCATATTTTTAGTATTCTCTGCTTGGAGCCAAGATCCACTTGACATTGGTAATGATATTACTTGTTCCACATCCTCTTCTGAGTCCAGCTTGAACCTCTGGCAGCCTCTTATCTATACAGACCTGCAATCATTGTTGGATGATCTTCAGCATCATCCAGATTTTTCTGGCACGTGGAATGAGTGATATTCTATTGGTTGACCATTCTGTTTTGTCACCATTCCTTGGAGTGGGTGGTAACACGAATCTCTTTCAGTCAGTTGGTCAAGGAGTTGACCCTCAAATTTCCTGGCAAAGACTTGTGGGTGCTTATGCTTTCAGTGCGTCTTGAACTTCTCCTTCCAACTCTGTACAGGAGTCAGGTTTAGCCATTGTGTTTTTATATTTTCACATCCCCCTCCCATTGTAGATGGAGACCTGAGTAAATGGCATGGGGGCCACAGCTGACCTCCCCTGACTAACACAAAGCAGAAGGAGAATCCACTGCCTCCTAATTGCCAAAAGGCAGACATCAGATACGTCTCCCTCTTCCATCTTCCTTTACCTGTATTGACACCCACCATTCCTCCAGGGCACTCTCCCTCCAAGCTCATTACAATGACAACGGGAAATCTGAGACAAAGCTCACCATTATGGAGATTTACTGGGGAAATTAATAGGTTACCACAAGTTAGAACCAATGACTGGCTTAAATATTTTATTTTTTACTAGAAGCCTAAGAAAACTTGACCAGAAATATTACTCTTTATTTAAAAAAAAAAGAAAAGCAAGAGAGAGAATCAGTAATTAGGAAGAATATTGTCTTTGGTCTGTGGCATCACCTCTCCTTGGGCAGCAGCCTAGTCCTCTGATTGATTCTCAGCTTCTCACTCATCTTGTCCCGTGACTTTGCCCTATTAAACTACCATTCTCAGTACAGACTTAATTTTTGATTCATTATCTTTTATATGTATTTCTGGGTACTATTTATAAAGATTTGTTTATAAAGACTTGTTTATACCTTTATTTATGTATGATAGCCCACATTTAAAAAATATTGTTCTTAGGAACATCAATATGATATTTCCCATGAGATTATTATATATACATTGTCATCTATTTACACCTTATACAAGGGTGTTTTTGACATGGGATTTCTTGTGTCTTGGGAGCTTTGGTTATTAACTCAACAGCATCACCAGGAGTGGGGAGGGGAGGAATGGGTATTAAAAGGTAATAGACAATAACAAAGACCAACACATCTTGCTAAATTTTCACAGACCAGTATCATAGGGATCAAGACTAGCTAATAAAAGGGGTTTGATAAATTGTAAAATAAGAATATATATATATATTTTTTTGGTAGAAATACTGAATTTGTGACAGATTTTCTTCTGTTAGGTTTCAATTTCCCCCCATTTACATTTGAAGCACCAAATACAAACTGCAACAGAGGAGTCCATTCTGACTCAGAGCAACCTCACAGGGCAGCACAGAACTACAGCAACATGTTTCTAAGGCTGTAAACCTTTCCGGAATCCTGCAGAGCTGTGAGCTTCAGACTATAGACCTCTGTTTAGCATCCAAAGACTTTCTGCTGGGGGAACCAGGTCTCCTTGAAGAAAAAGAATTAAAGTGGTTATCATTATTTATAGCAAAGTTTATCAATCAAGGGACCTCCATAGGATCAGAAGTTAAAAATGAAAGTGTGACAGATATTTCTAGTTATTAGAGGATGAAAATTCATTTTATGGGATCTTCTTTCTCCTGATTTTTCCATGATTGACAAGAAGGACAGCATGGCTCTCCGGGTAAGGGACACCATCCGCAGCAGCAGTGAGTCCCCGCTTCCCCCTGTGGAGCTCTGCTATGAGAACATGAACGGATCCTGTGTCAAGTCTCCCTACTCACCGGGACCCCGCGTGCTTCTGTACGTAGTCTTTGGCTTTGGGGCTGTGCTCGCAGTGTTTGGAAACCTGCTGGTGATCATTTCAGTCCTGCATTTCAAGCAGCTACATTCTCCAACCAATTTCCTCATCGCCTCCCTGGCCTGTGCTGACTTTTTGGTGGGTGTGACCGTGATGCCCTTCAGCATGGTCAGGTCCGTGGAGAGCTGCTGGTACTTTGGGGAAAGCTTTTGTACCTTCCACACATGCTGTGATGGGGCATTTTGCATTTCTTCTCTCTTCCACTTGTGCTTCATCTCCATTGACAGATACATGGCTGTTACTGACCCTCTGGTCTACCCGACCAAGTTCACCGTGTCTGTGTCAGGAATGTGCATCGGCATCTCCTGGATCCTGCCTATTGTGTACAGTAATACACTGTTCTACACAGGAGCCAACGATGACGGGTTAGAGGAATTAGCCCATGACCTCTACTGCATAGGTCGTTGTCAACTTGTTTTAAATCAAGATTGGGTTTTGATAGATGTTCTGATATTTTTCATACCAACTCTTGTTATGATCACTCTCTACAGTAAGATTTTTCTTGTGGCTAGAAAACAGGCTCAAAAAGTTGAAGCCACTGTTAGCAATTCAGAATCATCTTCTGAAACTTACAAAGCCAGAGTGGCCAAGAGAGAGAGAAAAGCAGCCAAGACCCTGGGGGTCACTGTGGTAGCATTTTTGACATCTTGGCTACCGTATATGATTGATTCATTTTTTGATTCCTGTTTGGGTATTATGACTCCTTCTTTTGTCTATGAATTATTAACCTGGTTTGCTTACTATAACTCTGCCCTAAATCCTTTAATTTATGCTGTATTTTACCCTTGGTTTAGGAAAGCAGTAAAACTTATTATAACTGGTCAAGTGTTAAAAGATAGCTCCTCCACCATCAATTTATTTTCCAAAGGAGCATAAATACGAGGAATGAGAAATTTGTACAGATATTGTAGATCTGAAATTCAGTTCATGGATATTATCTATTAAATTGATGAATGCAATCAAGTATTACCTTATATATTTATAATATTGCCCACTTTATACTTTCTGTTATTTGATAGTGAGCATCACGAATTATTTGCTACAATGGTGTTTACTAAATGGTATAAACAGGCTTTTACCTCTCTTCCTAACTGGCATTTACAGGTTCTCCTACCTACTTGCCTTGTGTCTTTCAGGCTGTCAGGTGTTATTTCCTTCTTCTGAGCACCCCTCTCCTGCCTAAACCACTGTCACTTTCACAGGTTCCTGGTTTCATGTTTCCTGTTAACGCAGCATCTTTCTCTGGATGGGACTGAGTTTACCTTTACTTCTCTGCACCGTGTTTCTTGTGGTTTGTCCCTTATGGAACTGCTAGGACTTCTCTGTATCCTTTTTATCAGTCATGTTGGACTCAGTGCAGGAATTGCATTTCATAGTGTTGGCAATAACCATGAACTGAGGGTGCCATTTCTATGATGATTGTGTCACTGCATGAAGTTTGTAATGCTTCCTGCCCACCAAGATCAAGGGCAATAGTGTATATTTTCATTTGGGATTCCAACGTTTTCTGCAAAATACCCAACGCTGGTATACTGTGGATAATCAAAATAACAAGGCACTTAAAGCTGTAGTAAAGAGTAACTTATTCAAGAAATGGTGATCAGACATAGAACTTCTTAGACAAAATACTGTTGAGCATCTTGCTTTATTTCAAATATGAAGGACTCCTAGGAAACTATTGCTTTTATAATTTTTAGTGGTGGAATCATATAAAAAATCTAGTTAACTACACGACATTCAATTTAAAGTTTTATACTTTAAAGTAACACAAATAAAGGTTGAAGTAGAAAGGGACAAAAATATTACCTCAATACTTTAAAAAATCATGTGCCTTAACATTTCCACTGCTACATATATTCTCAAAAGGCTTGAAAGCAGAGGCTCAAACAGAGATACTTTTACCATTCCAGCACAAATCAAATTGGCCATAGGTAGAAACAGCCTAAATGTCCTTCAGCAGATGAATGAATGCACACAATGTGGTCCATATATACAACGGAACACTCATCAGCCAGTAGAAGAAATAAAGTCTTGATACACATTACAATGTGGATAAATTCTGAAGTCATATGCTGTACAGAATGAGCTCATGACAGAAGGAGATACAGTGTACAAACCCACAATATTTTGTCATATAAGTACAAGAATAGAAAAATGTAATTTCATTATTGATCACCAAGATAAGACTTAGGTGGGGAAAGGAGGGTTCACATTGATGGAAAAGTCCCATTGGTTAAGGTGAGGTGGCGTGGTGATTCCTGTCATAGTTATCAATAAGTGAATGCCTGGCTAAAGTGGTATTATGTGTATTTGTTGACAAAGAATCAAAAGTAGTTACAATATAAAGTATTCAAAATTGACCCATTTAGCAATTCTTAGACATTCTAAGGAAAATGAGTTGTACATAAATTGGAGTGCAGAGCATAGAATGACATAATTCATACCATAGCTGAATAGTTATTAATAATCTTAGGTACTTTCCACCTGCAGGATCAGCAGGTTCTGCACCTAAAATATTTTGGGGGGAAATAAATGATATTTGAGGGTAAAAGAGACCCTAGTACAAGTATAATTTAAAGAGGACATTTATAAAGTCTTAAAAGAGACATAGACAACTCAAAGGCACAGACACTCCATCCAGCTGAGGAATCTTCCAACAGGAGGCTGAAATGGTGTCTAGGGTTCATTGACATGCCAAGCTTGAAAAAGGGCAATGGTGGGTAAAGGAAACTGTCACAAAAGCATGACTGATAGCAGATCAGTACAGCAC